TAGAAAATAGAAAAAAGATTGATCAAAATTGTTTTAGAAAAGATATTTATTGGGATGGAGAGAATAAATTGGTTCATTCAAAGATCGCCGGTATCACACGATAACATCTCCTTTGTATGAACATTACTTACGCCCTCCGATGATGATCCGTGCTGATTGTGTGTGGTCTGTTGGTTGTTGCTATTCCAAAATAAAATAAAACTAAAAATAAAGTAAAATAAAAGCACAAATAACAAAACCAAAAACAGAATAGCCAAGGGTGGCTTACCAGTTAGTTATGCATGACATGCTGTTGGTAAGTGAAGAATGCTCAACGCAAACGTCGTCTGCTAAGTTATTTTCTTATATATACTACTGGTATTTAACTCAAGAAGACAATTTACACCAAAATCCTAGGATAAACACAACATTCATTCGTTAACGTCAAGGAAGAATACGGGGTCCAACAATCGCCAGAACTGGGGGTGAACGCTCGCATGGATATGGAAGAGCATGCATGAACCACGAATAAAAACCGAACACCGCAAGGAAGATATCCCAAAATCAGGCACCAACTATTCCACCCGAACACTGCTCAAGATTCTATGAGACAAGCAAGCATGATCGATCCCACGCAAAACAAAACAAGACATGAGTATCAAAATAAATGGCTCAAAACGCCAGAGGCAACGTAGGAACCCCCAACGTACCAGCAGACCGATCAATATACAAGACGGTGATAAGTGACAGGAAGCAGTGATCTCCTGGAAACTGAAAATTGGAAAAGTGGCCCCATATTTTCACCACCAATCGCCCTGATCATTCATCGCGGCTGCAACTTTCATGAAGCCAGTAATGTTGCTTCCCGTAACTAAGGAAGGTAATCCGTCGCCCTCTTCAGGCAATGCATATTTTTTTGCCGTCTGAACGCCGATCTCGAAGCACTCCTTCATGATCTGCTTCAATTTCGCATCGACCTCAGAAGCTGTCCAGGTTAGGCGCTGCGCATTCTGCGCCATCTCCAAACCGGAGACAGCAACACCGCCTGCATTGGCTGCCTTTCCGGGGCCATACCAGGTGGATTTCCCCATGGCGTGGAAGCGGCGACTGGCTTCGAAATGCTCAACAGCAGCCAGCGTGCAACCCATATTAGACCCCTCGGCAATGTACTTAGCGCCAGCGTCCATCAATGCCTGGGCTTCGGGTCCAGAGACCTCATTCTGCGTGGCGCAGGGCAGGACAACATCAACTTTGCCGACGTGCGTCCACGGTCGCTCACCCTCGACGTATTTGTATCGTCCGCGGAAGGCATCGGTGCTAGAAAGGCTGGACAGTTGCTTGCGTTCGACTTTGAGCTCTTGCACCAGGTATATTTCTTCTGGGGTGATACTATCCATGTGGTCGCGGACAATTAGTGATCCCTTGCTGTCGCTGAGAGAGCAGACGGTGCCGCCGAATTCGATGACCTTGAGTGCTGCGTATTGCGCGACGTTTCCTGAGCCGGAGATCGCGACTCGCTTGCCTTTGAAGCTTTCTTTGCCGTCTGTGGCATATTCGATCATGTGTTGGACGTACTATAGAGATTTGAGGTTATCGGTTAGTTTAGTTGACATGAACCCCAAAAGGAGTCGAGCAATTAACTGGGCTGTTCGGAGGTGCAAACATACGTAAACCAGACCATACCCAGTGGCCTCGGGGCGAATGTGGCTCCCCCCCCAGCTAAGTCCTTTCCCAGTCAATACGCCCTCCCACAGGTGTCGCTGTCTCTTGTATGCACCGAATAGGAAACCAATCTCACGCCCTGAAACACCAATGTCGCCGGCTGGAACGTCAATATCAGCACCTATATGTTTGCTGAGTTCCATCATGAAGGCGGAACAGAATTTTCGGATTTCGTTGTCCGACTTTCCCTTAGGATCAAAATCGGCGCCTCCCTTTCCGCCACCCATGTTCACTAAATGGGGAAGAACAATGACACATCAGGTTATCTTTTTCTTATTTTTTCTTTTTTGTGGGGGAGCCTTCGGCTTGCTCTGGGTGTCCGATTTGCTAGGGGTCAAAACTTACATCCCGTTAGGGCGTTTTGAAAATCTGCTCGAAGCCCAAGAACTTCAGGATGGACATGTTGACTATTTGATCCGAGGTTAGCATAAAAAGGACACTGGAAGGCCACGGGCAGAGGAAAATACTCCCATACCTGTGGGGTGAAACCGAAGGCCTCCCTTGTAAGGCCCCAGAGCAGAGTTGAATTGAACCCGGTAACCCCCGGTTGACTTCCAACTGCGAATCAATCAGACTCGGGGTACATTCAAACTGAAGGGCCTACAATGTATCGCAGTTTTACTCACTTGGCCCTTGTCATTTTCCCAAGTCACACGGAACTGAATGGTACGCTCTGGCACAGCTGCAACGGCGAGCGCTCTGCGATATTCTGGGTGCTGGTCGAAAAGGGTGGAATTTTCCAAAGTAAAGGCCAGTTCTGTACTCAATATGCCTAATCAGAACACTTCTTCTTCTTTTTTTTTTTTTTTTTTTTTTGCATTTTACATTGCTTCATTCATTTTTATTTTATTTTATTTTCCAACATCGATGCAGTCCAGATAGAAGGTGGCGAGACAACCTACCTCTGTACGCCTGCTCGAACTCTGGCTCCACAGCGAGATGAGACATTTTTGTCCTCTCTCTTTGATTTCCAAAATGTATCGCAATAAAGATCAAGTCCAATTGGCTTCAAGAGATATATCAGATTCGTTTGGAGGACTGAGTAGAAAGATGTCGTTGTGGCCTCGGCGGTGGATCCACGGGGAACCCAGTAGCTATGACTTTGAGAAACAATTCGACCACCGAGAGGCACAACGAATATCAAGAAGAGGGCGAAAGTATAGAAGGAACAAATTGGATTGAGGGATTATTATTACATATATATACAAAATTCTAAAATAGAGGGGGAGGGGGCGAATTTGTTTATCTCCTCGCCAAAGAAAAAGAAGTGCAAAAAAAAAAAAAACCATAAGCAGGTCGCCCTCGGAACCGAATTCCAGAACAAAGAGCGTTATCGGCCGGATCAAGCGCTGAAAATCCAAAGCTTTTGTGCGTATGCATTGGCCATTTCCATTAGGTTCCACTATGACTACTCAGTCTTCCATTCAAAAAAAGTCATGAAATTACCAGCAACAGGGCCGGGAAACGGGAGGGGGCGGAAGGAATTGCGGGCGTGCGAGATAAGGACAATAGCCAGCCATTTGTGAGCTTGTTGGGTCGAGTGACGTAACTTACTGGATACCCTCCAAGACTTCTGATAACCCGGATGTGTAGGGATTTTGTACCGGGATAGGGTGACCATTCACTGGTTGGTTATAAGTTTATT